TTTAATTTAAAATAGCTGATAGACGCTTTGGCAAATGCTCGAAAATTTCACACATTATTGACAAGGTGTTCCCCTTCAAAATGCGTCCGGACAGTTTATTACGGCGAGTGGAACAAAAATAACAAGTCCGCAATTAACATGGATATATAAATTATGCAAAAATAGAAAAGAGTGAACTTTGAGGTCATGCTGTGCGACTTTGAAAGCCGTTAGAGAGATGAGTGGACGCATTTGAATTAGTAGTATACCAAGGTATCCAGTGATGTAATTTTACCCACAAACGGACTTGAAGTTTTTAAGCTAATTTTTTTTAAACCACTTTTGACCAAAAAAGCATATTTTTGACCCAAAATCAAAAACGCATTCTGGATATTTAAAATAAAGACAAGTTTTACAAAGTTTGTATAATAAGCTTTCAGAAAATATATAACATGTTGGATATATAATACCATCTTCATTGTCTAATTACTCAATTGAAAAGCAAGCCAAATAAACTGCATCTCTACCTTAATGTTAATTTTCAAAATAAATACTATATGTTGTTCAGCATTATTATAGTGTTAATTGTCATCTTATTTTATTTATTAATGAAGATGATTATAAAACAAAATAAAAGGAATAACAAGTGAATATATATTCTCTTAATACTGGTACAAGTTGACTTCCATTTCAGTTCGTATTGATCAGTTTTTGGCGGAAAGCAAATCACACGTAAGCACTTTCTCTAGCAAAAATTTGACATGCCCCGGGCGTGATGTGACCAATGGCGTCTGCTATAGCAAACTCAAATTGTATAGACCGAAAACATTGTTCACAGATATTATACTGGGGATTGTATAGTGGTTGAAAAAATTAGGTGCACTCCTTGCTGTTGTAATAAATGTTCCAAATTAGGTTTGACAATTCTGGCGTGATGACAACCACAATTATCCATGATTACACAATCTCACGGTGCCAAATAACGATTTCCAGCTTGGTCTTCTACATTGACTGCTTCAAAGAAAAAGTTCATCATTCCCATAGCATTGGAAGGTCCAACAATGCTATCAGAATATTCAACACCAAATATACATGTACTTGTAAGCAGGTTTATTGTGTAATTAACATTAGACGCAAACCGCTGTATTTCTATCGCCGGTTTACCAATTTCTGCATGCCCGTAACGCCGGTTTCCAGTAGTACGAATGACAGACGCCTCGTCAAACCAGTGCAGCTGTTCTGGTCTAAAATCAGAAATGGTATCGATAAAATCAAGCATTCGTTGTTCGTTAGAGTCAGTCGTTGACTCTGCAGCAACTTTTTCCACGTCATGTTTAGGTGGTGAACAAGTCCCCGGTAAACCGTGGATGAACTGGGGACATCGAGGCACACATTATCTTGGCGTAACTTTGACAGAATTTCACGCCGATAAATACTAGGCTGTCGCCGTTTATAAAATTCAATATGCTGTAAAATATTGTCAGTCAAGTATGTTCTGTTACCGTGTTTTCGTCCGTGCTTCCCAGCTGAAACATCACCGCTAGTAATAAGTTTAGTGCATATATTATTCGCAGTACTTTTTGACACCCTAGTTTGTTGTGCAAATTGACTACATGACAGCCCAGTAAAGTTCAACAATTTTCTGTCGTACACTAAATTGTTTGTCGAATCCTCGTTTATGAGACTGCATTTTGTCACCAAATTACATGTACTCCCGACTTTCCCGCGTTATATGCTCTGAGTGTCTGGACACGCTACCGGGACACGTACACACAAACGTAACATTTTATGTAAATTAGTTGAGTACAGACAGTTATACATTGTATCAAAAATGTTTAGGCTAAAGTATAATGTTTTGATAAGTAATGATAAAATCAGTGGCAATTTCATTTGGGACTTGCTCTGATGTATCAACATTGTAACGGTTGCCCCAACGCACGGCACAGTTGGAGGTGTGGCCTATTCAGAATGTTTCAACAACCAATCACAGGACTGGT